ACATGAAAGGGTACCTCCATCAACCTGCCAACAGTGACAGAATGATGTAACTTAGAAGTGGTTTCTTTCATGCAAAATATGCTTAATTAAGACAAAAGGCAGACAGTGGAAGTGGATTTGAAATGTCAAAGACCTAACACAGACCTGGCACTGCCTGAAGCCTTGAGGCGGGCCAGCCTGGGCTCCCACTGCTTGCTCTGGCCACTCAGCCACTGTTCTCACAGCAGTCATTCTTCAGACCATCTCAGTGTGTATCTGGCTCATCTGGCAAATGCTCAAGGCTCTCTTCTCACTGTTGTAGTAGATGAGTCCATTTTGATCTTCAGTCCCTCCAATGTGGGTCGCAGGATTAGTGCTAGAGCTCCCATGGCCTCTTCCCAGCAGCAAGATCCACTGCTATGGTTGATAGAATACTATTGGGCTTGGTCGAGGTTTTGCCTTTCCTGCAACACAACATAACCAAGTGCACAGAGACATGGGCAATATTTACCTAATGAGAGTTGGGGTTTCCCCCAGGCATGTACCTTTTAGGTATGACTGAAAATAGGATTTTCAGTTGCTGCCACTGTACTGTAAAGGGAAATGTCCATTCAAATCTTTTTGTACCAGTTAGTGTAATTCTACACATAATATTATAACACTTTTGAAGAGTTCCTGCTTGGAATTTCCTGAGCTCTCTGTTTTGCAGACATAACAGTGATTTCTTCCATGATCTGAGTATGTGGGAAAAAATATACAGAGAAGTATATACTGAGTGTATATTTGAGGCTGCAAATGATGTATAAGTGAGGGACCAAAAGGAGTATAAGCAAGAATGCAGTGGATGGAAATGCTCTGAGAGAGCACTGTGTCAATTTGCTTTGCCTTTCATTTGTAAATTATGTGTTGACTGGAGCAATCTGTTGAGAAATTTAAAATATTTGTCTCTATACTTGTGGCAAGAGAATTCCTCTGTAATTTGAAGAATCAGTTAACCTCCATCTTCCTAGGAAACAATGTTCTTAATATCCATAAGCATAATTATTGAGTATTTGCGCCTCTAGTATTTCAGTTTTCCCTTTGTTGTAATAGTTGTGAAGACAAGTGAATTAATGATTGCAAGGAGGTAAGCATCATGGCAAACAATGTGATAGGGATACTTTTCTAGGTAGTCCATCTGTAAAGCCTTAGAACCAGACATGATCTCTTAGAGGAGTAAATTCAGTTCTTTCCAAGTACAATTCTCAAACTATAACAAACCATGCCCCTGTAGCAGAGAAAGCATTTCTGTGACTTGGATGCCACTATTCCTAGTCTTGCATCACATATAAATCTGTGTTGAAGTGCAAAGTTCTGAATGTCCTTTCCTGGACTTACTCACGCTGTTTCTGATATTCAGCAAATACACTCAGACTGAGAAGATGTAGTCACAAATATCTTAAAGTACTGTAGCCAAGTCTGTCACATCTCAATTGACAGTCATTAAAATTGCAGCAAAATCTGTAACTATCCAGGTGATTTTCTAATTAAATATTGAAAGTCTCTTTTGAACAGGATTATTAGAAGATATCTTTTTAGTGGAGAATAAATATAATCAAAATTAATATTTTTACATATTGGGCATTTTTCTGTAAGTCCTGTGCACACAATCTACAGTAGGCATTCAGATTACCCTCACTGAGTGAGTTCCATTCTTCCTAAAAACTACCCTGAGGAACACATAAATTGTCTCTGTTTAGTTTTTAAATGCCTTTTCCCTCCCAGTGAAAATTTTCAAAATGCCTGGTTTATATCCTGATTCACAAAAGGATCAATTTGTTTTTCAATAAAGAGGTATTGCAGGTGTGCATTCCATGATGTGTTTTTCCTCCACCAAAAATGTGAAAGAAATAGAGCGTATTGTTATTACAAGACCTTGATGATACAAAAGGCTGATTATAATTCTTTTCAGAAGTTATATATAAAATTCTAAGAAAATGTGCATGCATTTTCAGCTCTATTAATTTTTTAAAAAAATGTAATAATGACAAATTCTGTCATTATTACATTATGGTACAATTAAATAATTTAAATCAGTTAACCTCATTTAAATGTCTCTGAACTGCCTAAGCAGTGGCTTCTGAAAGGTTGTGTTCTGATTAACACAAATTAGAAACATAACATGAAAAGAGTACATTTATATGTATGAATCAGGATTTAAATTTCCATTTAGGGAGAAGCAAACCACACCGGTCTCTAAGCATCCTTTATTCCATGTGCTGCACTCAATTATGGTAATCCATATCAAATTACCATTTATTAAACCTTCAAACAAGGTTTATCCCTGCCAAAATTGAAGCAGAGTCAGAAGATGGACTGGGAATCTGAATTATGCTCTCAGTAGACTGAAATATGATACATTTTTAAAATGTAGGCTGTTATAATAATGTAGGAAGATATCCAAGTAGGGAATTTCCCTATTGTCTGAAAGACTTAAGTGTACAATATAGTCACAAGTAGTTTGGCATACCACCCATGCAAAAATAAACATCATTTTGATTGCACTAAATTGAATTTTAAAAAAAGTCTTTTAGCCTTTTAGATCTGCCAAACACAGCAAATTAAAAGAAACAGGTGTCAGCAAGTTTCATTGTCTAGAACAAATTTGTGTTGAGAGATCAAAGGAACAAGTTCAGTACTTTAAGGTAGGGGAAGTAGTAAAAAAAACCCAACAACTTAAAATAATTGTCTTCCTTTAATGCTTACATTCTTTAAGTGATCTAAATTCTTACTTGTTGTATAGAATCTAACACTGTATACATGTATTTAGAGCCTCTTTTATCCTTTATCCACAAAAATTATATTTAATAAGTTGTAATGCTAGTAAACTGAATGATAAATAAATCCAAAGGAGAAAAATAAAAATAATTAATAGAAAAGTATTTTTTATTTTAAATATGATAAAGAATCCTACAAAAAGAAACGCCTTTGATGTTTTAGCCTTATGTGATTATTAATTACTTTAAATATATTTATTTCTCTTCATGCTGTAGGCATCTGTTCAATGGAAAGCAAATTTAAAGCAAGATGGTTACACCAGTTGTCTTTCAATCATTCACTGGCAGATGGCTTTAAATGCAGTTTAAATTGCAAAAATATGGGGAAAAAAGTCAACATAGAAATTGATTATGCAACGGTTTAAAAAATTACAATAGGACTTGATTTAGCTTGTGTATGGGCCATATGTATTTGAAAACATAAATTTATGTATTCATCTGTAGTGTTATACACACTGCAAGAGGGAAAATATACACTGATGAGTTAACTGAAATAATTTTCTTCACTGCATATGAGGAGTGAGAAGGACCAGGTTCGTATGTACTATCACAGCACAGGCATGGTCTTTATTCCATAATTTTTTTCTGGAATTTCTTCAGTGTTTTGATGGAATTATTACTTTTTCTAACATTTAGCTATCATAATGGAAGCATCTAATCTAAGATAATCATCGATTTTCAGTCAGGAGGAAAGATATGCATGTCATTTATCCAATCTCTTTTGGACATAGAAGGTCCTGCTGGTGATGTTTGCCTCCAATTTTTACAGAAGAGATCAGATAACCACTTTAATATCAGCTTTTAGCACATTGGCTTTTCCATTATCCTGGTCTGTGCAAGACAGATAAGTTCAAGATTTTCAGCTCAGCTATTGTAATTTTTGTGCCTTAAGCCAGTGGATAATAGCAAATGCTGAAGGGTTAAGCTTAGCTCTGTACGGGGGTCACAGGTCAGGATTTCAAGCAAAAATTGTTATGGGTAGGAAAAGTACTCAGAATATTCTTGTAATATACAGATACCACTTCTCCCTAAGGATGTCAGAACACTTGCAGTCTAGCAGGAAGGGCTCTGTTTTATCTGGTACCTAACTGGTCATTTAGAAAACAAATCTGATTATTTGAGGACAAAAAAATGTTATGTCTGTTCATATTTTAAGAAGTATTACTAGGATTTGAATCCAAGGTTAATAATATAGTTCTGAATAATTGCACAACAGTGCTATTTATGCACCTTTATTTTTTAAATGCATTTTATTTAATTTTAGCAAATATGACTCCATTCTCTAGAATATTACCATTATCCTTTTCCAAAAGAAGAGTTACCATGAAATCCACCAAAAATTACATCAAGAATTACTGCCTTATAAGTATTAGTATGAGTATTAGTATAAGTAAATAAGTATTAATTCACAGATACCTGGAAAACTGTCTGTGAACATGTTCTGTAATTGAGAGGTTAAGTTGGATATTGTAAACACAAAAGCATAAATATAAGGATTAGGCATGCGCATATTTCTCAGAAGCAGTACCTCTGAGTTTCATGTTGTCCACTCAGAAACAGAATAGTACAGAAAGAAGTCAGCTTATTTTCCAATGAGTGAGATTTTCGATACCACTACCAATAAATAAAGCAATATCTTTAACATAAAAAAACAACTTGAAAATGTGTTAAAATACTTTATTTACATGTTTTTCCTATCAAATATTGCTTAAAATACGTGTTGCAGTTACTAACTGGTGAAAAGTTGAGAAAACTAACACTCAATTTTACATCACTTGTGTTTGATTCATATTTTTTGTCCCTGTGCTCCTACAATGCCGTGTTGTTGTCAACTGTGTTCAGTACAAAAGGATTAATCTTACCCTTGCAGTTATCAGTTTCCTAATTTATAACCAAGAGTTCTTCCATGTTTCAAGGTGGAAATTAAAAAAATAAATTAGTACAAAGTAAAAATAGAAGAAAAAAAAAGACTTAACACTGAATCTCCAGTCATTTATTGGCTTCTTTATATCCATCATGGTCCTTAATCATTTTTTCCATTTCCCTGAATGTGTCAACCTAATACTGCAGCTGCTACGAATGGCCAGTTTGGTATCATAATGTCACTAGATTGTCTGCAGATGTCAACAGATGTCAACAGATTGCCTTCTCAGTGATTTTTGGTTTTCTTATACATATTGACCATTTACTTTCTGTCTCTTGCAGATTGTAGCTTTGCGTGAACAAAATGCACACATTCAAAGGAAAATTGCAGCTGGTGAAGGGCCTGCTGAATCAGAACATATTGAAGGAATGGAGCCAGGGCAAAAGGTTCATGAAAAGGTATAGAATACTAGTTTTCATTGGAATACACAATCAATATGAAAAATAATCCAATATATTATTTTTTAATGTGAACATTTTATGAGACTTTCATTTACAGTGTTGTTTGCCAAGCGTGAACGTCAAGCTTCTTCAAATGAAAAGCAAATGCAAATGGGCAAGTCCTAGCTCTCTGGTAGGATATTGAGTTAGGTCTCCAAGTTATAATAAAATCTTATTGGATTTTTTAGCAAAATAATACAGTTAAGTACAATATATTCTGCTGAGTGGTCCTATCTATGTCATAGACAGAAAAGCATAGTGTACTTGTGCATACATATGAAAGTATATATATGCAAAAACTGCTGCCAAAATAGCCCATAATGGAATGAAAAAGAAACCTAAAAACTATAAAAGATAATTTTCCTTTGTGCTACCTACCAACGTGTTGCCAATTCATATTCTTTTTCATGTAGAGAAAAGTGAAGAACATTTTACTTAGCATTTTTTCAGTACAAACTAGCTGAATGTTATTTAGGCTAAGTATTTAAGTCTAAAGGACAAAAACGAGATAGAGAATATCTGATTTAGAAGTTTTCAGTGTTAGTTTTCCAGATGGGTAAAAACAATCTGTATTTCTTGTCTTAATTCGAAGATATTAAATTTAAAAGCTAGCATAACATGACATTTCATACTAAGAGAAATTAGTGAAGTTGCTGCTTGGATCTCTAACCATGAAATATTTAAAAGGAAACTAATGGTAAAATAGAAGTAATGAGAATTAACTGAGAGTATTTATTGCTTCAGAAAAATATAGGAAAAAAGAATGAACGGCTTTTGGTTGATTTTAAAAATTCCAAACTTCTTAAGATATCTACATGAGAAAGTACTCATTACAAGGTTCAAAAGAGAGAAAAGACATTGAACAAAACAAAAGCCCACAGATGTCTCTGACTACAACTCTTAACTTACAAGAATACGAAATTTTATAATTTTACATTCAAATTATACTTACCAGCCACCAACGTAAGATGTTGCCCACTCCACTCATAACTCATTACACGCCCATTTACACGCGATTTAAGACAGTATGATTCATTTTTTCTAAGCAATATGAAAGGTCTTGTAAGTGTATGAAGTGATGCGTTGTTTCAGAAATCTTTAATCTCTTTCATTTGCTATTTTGAATTAGCAATCACTTTAATCTATCTCCAACCAACAGTCATGGTCAGGTTGGGTGAAAAAAAAATTTTTTGCCCAAAAATTGACTTCAGTTTGAAGAATAATTCAAGATAGCAAAATAAAAGATTTGCCTTTCTGAATTTATTATTACTAGACTTAAAAACAAATTGGCGTACCTGAACTTGTGATTGAATTTCACACACCATCTACCATATGTAACTGGAATAGCACAGTGTGTTCTCTACTCATGCTATAAACTAAGTCCTTTTAATGCGGTGCTTGCTGTCCCAGCTGTCCCAAAAAATAAGATGCTGAGATTAAGTATCTTTTTTCTTTTTTTTTAAGTTATTCTTTGCTGATGTTTATTTCTACTACTATATGAGTCATTAAAATTGAGTTATTGAATAAAATGGAAAGTTTTCAGAAATGATCGTATGCATTTGGGAAATTACTTCCGAAAGTATTTCATTTTCTGATGTGTGTATACCTTGTATATTAACTGTCATAGTATATCCTGCACTTACAATGGCGTGTTTCCTCTACGCTCCAAAATTTATTGCCTATTTCTGGACAATATAGGAGAATATTCCATAGTAAGTTCCATGCTGAATCTTTTAATTCAAACATATAATAAATAATTACTAAAATTATTCTGAAATTAGTGGAATTTTATCTGGGATGAATTTGCCTGAGTAATGACTTCTTATCTTCATGGACACCCTGTATGCATAAGAGGGTTACTGTTTGACAGAGCACTTCAGGCAGATTTTGTTACACTGAAGATGAAAGCTCATCATTTAAGTGCAGTGTTAATCAGGGTTTTCCTTGGAAATGCACTGTTTCTATTTTTTAAACTTAATTGCTGTTATTTATAACCATAGCTTTTAAAACTGGACACAATTCAAAACCAGCTTGTCTCTATTTGATGATTATATAGATATATGTTTCTTCCCAGCCTTGACACTATCATCTTCCAATAATCAAATCAACTGCCTGTAGCTTATAAATACTAAAATCTGTTAAAATATTGACAGTGGTTACAGACATTGCATCCAGTAGGAATAAAAGGTATTTTGCCCAAGCAAACTCAGAGTAGGCTGAACTGTCAAGAAGGTTTTGGTTTGCAAATCAAATTAAAAAAAAGGAAATAGTAATTTAAAAAGTAGATTATATCTTTCAGAGCAGTCATCAGAATCTGTTCTACTTTGGGACCAGAATATTTTTTGATTCTCTCATTGTTTTGGTCAATAGAAAACTGCAGAAGAAAACTTTCAGTTGATACTTAATAATTTATTTCATGTGTACTCTTTTGCTCTTTCATTTTAATTGGCAGCATAGGTGAGCAGCAGAGAACAGAATGAAGGCAGCCTTCATCAAAAGCAACAGTTTAAATAGGACAAAGCTTGGATTCAACACTGGCTGTCAAAGGGATGTTCATGATTTAGAGACAGTTTGTTATAAGGATCATTTGTTTTGCTGCTTAAGTACAATCATGATGCATAATAATAGTTGCAGACACAATCTCATCCCAAAGCATTCAATTCACACTGTAAATTAAGTAAATTAAGGCTTCAGACACAGAATAATTTTCGTAATCAGATGTTGGGTTAGTATCTAAGCAGTGCAGATATTGGGGGGGTTTTCTAATAATCCTCTTCCGAATAAATATTGATAATCTAATGTTAAAAGTGTGTGTGTAGGAAGATTTGATGAAGATTGAGACACCTGGAAAAATAAGGACTTGACAGAGAGGAAAGAAAAATGGGGAAAAACTGCAGCAGGCTCTAGAAGCCTTCATGAATCTAAGCTGTCAGTCCTCTTAATGCAGTGTTCATAGTGGAATATCATGCAGTGTTTCCCTTTAAAGAGGCTTTAGGCAAGTACTGGTGGAGCCCCAATCCCTGCTTGCGTTTAAGAGACAAGGGTATGGCATGAGGGACATGATTTAATGATGGGATTTGATGATCTTGAAGGTCTTTTCTAATCCATTCTCTGATTTTGTGAGTGCTGTTGTGCTTAGTAGCTGAGTGTGTCTGCATAAAAATCAGAGAATGGATTGGGTTGGAATGGACCTTAAAGATCATCTAGTTCAAATCCAGCTGCTATGGGCGAAGTTGCCAAGCATTATGACTGTGAATATTTAATACTCAACACTACAGCTCAGGCATCTTATGATGCTGAAAAGCTGCATTAATTTCGCAATATTTACAAATAAATCAATAGACATTCATTCAGATCTTTAAATTTTCAGAAGAGGTTTTTTTTTTTTTTCATGTAAGTTAACTTGTCTTTCAGTCATATAAACTTATTTTCACATTTCCTTATAAATTTCTGCTTATCAAGATTATCGAAGCATTGCTTTAGAAGTTTTATTATCTATGGGAATTTTATTTCCCCCCCCCCCCCCCCCCCCCCCAAAAAAAAAAAAAAAAAAAAAAAAAAAAGTACTTTTTACCAAGGAAATGGTATATATTGCTTATGAAGCATAGGAAGGCTCTCATACCTCAGTTACTGCCCAAAATTCACACATAGTTTCACAGCTGTTAGCACTTGCCATCTTCTGATGGAGAAAGAAGTCTCACAGTGTGGTTCAAGAGTCTTTCTTTAGGTTGAGATGCCATCATCATGTGACGAGTACCCTAGAGGCCAGTAACTATGAGCAGTAGGGTCACAGACTCATAGCAGGTAGGAGATTTGTCATATCTGGAAGCGGGTCAGTGGAGTATAATCTAGTCTACAGAAACTTCTGCAGTAATGAGATTTTGACACTTAGAAACCATTCCTCTCATTTTAGTCTTTTGTAAAGATTGTGTCTTTTTCTGAAATCAGTTCCTTGCTGAACCTTAGCTTGTATCTATCCTCTTATTTTTTACCTGTGTTTTAGATTATTGATTTCCTATCTAATTTCATACCAACAAAATAAAGTAAAATTGCCTACACTTGTATTCTTTAGTTATGTGTATTTTAAATATTTACATTGGCAAGGTGTCACATTGTTAGCAAATAGAACATAGCATCTGCAAATGCTTGAAATGTTATTTTAATATAAATTTTTTGTGCTTCATGTCAAGAAAATTATGTAAAATCAAAAGAATATTTTTCCTTTGTTTTTAAACATAAGTTTTCATGTTTTCAGTTCTTAGTTCTAGTGTAACATATGTCAGAAGTTTTCTGGGTTTATGCTTTGCACTATTTACCAAGCATAGTCAGCCAAACTACAGCAAGTACTCTCAAAGAACCATGGCACTGTATTGACTTGAGAACATAGCAAAGACTTCAGTTTTGATACTGGTGATTTATGGTGTGACCAACTTAATACTCCATTAGAGAAAAAGGTTGGGAAAGAGTAGACAAAATGCAAATGCTTTCAAGGTTTAAAAAAAAAAAAAAAAAAAAGAGTGAATGGAAAACAAAAAAAGCAGTTACTTACAGCATAAAATATTAGTTTGTTGAAGAAATCTGTCTTCTCAATTTTACGCTTGATTTTAATTATTCAGTGGCACTTTGTGGTTAGACAGGATTGAATTTAATCCTCAGAACTGAATGTGCTTATGCACAGGGACATCATGTGAATCACCTGCACCTATCCTGCCATAATCTGAGAGACACAGAGGAGGAGTTTTATCAAGTAAATGAATTCTGTCTCAACTGCTGACTGTTTGGGAGTAATCCTGTGAGATAATCTTTTTTTTTTCCTTCTCCCAGCACTCCTACATAAACTTATAGTGCAAAATATGTAACTACTGGCTTGTAGTACCTACCTAGCCCAAACATATCTTGGTCAGTTGGTTTACAGCTGCAGACAATTTGTGGCTTGGAGGTTCTCTGTCCTGTTCTCGGGATTCACCAATGCTAAATTATGTTCCTGTGCATAAATTGCTACATTATAACTCAATCTAGGTATATTTTTACAGGAGTTATCTCCTTTACAGTGTGTTGGCTTAGTCTTATTTTACACTTTCTCTTGTTTTCCTTTTACTGTCATTCTTGGATGTTTGTTTTGTTTTGTTTGTTTTTGCTAGTAAACCAGGCTGCAGCTGATTTTTCTTTTGGTTATTTCAATGCAGAGAGAATGATATAGGGAGAGATTGTTAGGTATAACGCTCCAATTTATTGTTCTTCTCCCTGCTTTTCCTTGAAGAAAAAAATAGGATTTACCAAAGCCATACAAAAAAGTTGTCAAAAACTGAACACAACTTAATGCAACTTAGTTCTTGCTTCTAACCAGTGTACAGTCATTACCCTCTCTGACTTGATGCTGCACTAGTATCATAATCTTTTCTCCCATTTTACTCAGAGATACTTATGAGTTTCTTATCTTTATCTGGGAATTTTTGGCTTATGCTAGAACATACACTGGACACAAATCTATGGGGCCAGACGGATAACTGAAGGAGCTGGCAGAAGTGGTTACCAAGCCACTTTCAATAATTTATCAATAGACCAGGTTACCTAGGGAGGTCCCAATTGGCTGGAGGTTAGTGATTGTGATGCCCATCTGCATGGAAGGCAGGAAGGGGTATCCAGGGAATTACAGGCCAATTAAATCCAATTACAGACCTGCCAGCTAAAGCTCAGTGCCATGGAAGGTTATAAAATAGATAATCTCAAGTGCCATCACACATCATGTACAGGACATCCATGTGATTAGACCCAGTCAGCATAGATTTATGAAAGGCAGGTCCTGTTTGACTCTCCTAATTTCATATGACAAGATGATTCACTTAGTGGACAAAGTGCAGTGAATGTTGTTTACCTGGATTTCAGGAGAGCATTTATGTTCCACACAGTATTCTACCAGTGGAACTGGCTGCTTGGGAGTTGTATGGATGCAGTGTTCACTGGAAGAAAAACTGCCATGATACCAAGATGACTAGGCCCAAAGGGTCATTGTGAACCGTGTAAAATTAAATTGTCAGTCACTCAAAAGTGGCATTACTCACAACTCAGCATTAGGACAAGTTTTGTTTAATATTTTTGTCAATGATTTTATGAGGGAATAGAGGATATTCTGAGTAAATTTGCAGATAACAGCAGACTGGATGAAATTCCTAATCTATTTGAGGGTAGAGAGGCTCTGCAGGGGAATCTGTATAGGCTAGATGGATGGGGTGTGTCCAATTGTATGGCATTCAACAATCAGTACAAGGAGGATATTGAATTTCTTGAGGGTATGCAGAGAAGAGAAATAAGGCTGCTGAAGGGACTAGAAAACAAGAAATATGAGAGAATTGGGACTGTTCAGTCTGAAGTGGAGGAGGCTGAGAGGAGACTTCATCACTCTCTACAAGTACTTGAAAGGAGGTTGCAGCAGGTATCAGTCTATCTTTCTCAAGTGACAAATGATTGGGCATGAGGAAATGGGCTCAAGTTGCATCAGGGAAGGTATAGTTTGAATCAGGTAGAAATTCTTCATGGAAAGAGTGGTTAGGCATTGGTAGTGCAGTCCCAGTCACTGGAGGTGTTTAGGTACGTGGTTTAGTTGTGAACATGGTAGCCTTAGGTGCATGATTAGGCTTTCTGACGTTGAAAGTCTTTTTCAATAGAAATAATTCTATGATTTCCACAGTGTCTCTGGTTCCCATGAAAGCATTTATAATCAATGTGCTGTGATTTCTAGTACATATTGGAGAGCTGAAAATTGATGAAAAACAGTAGTAATAAGGTACTAAGAAGGAGTATTATAACATCATTTAGTTTTCATATTCATATTCATTGTATTATATTGTATTATATTGTATTATATTGTATTCTAGTCTAAAACAATAACTGAGATGATAAGAAGTTGTCCAGTTCTGCCTTTTTCAATTACTTGATGAATAGTGTGTGGAGGTCACAGATCTACCTCCCCTGTCCTTTCTAAGAGAATTTTACCATTACTGCACTTCAGAGGAAGTTCTGAGAGTCTAAACGCATTTACCCTGTTTGATCACTGTTCTCTTTTAGCTAAATGTGTCCTTCCTTGGCAAGGCCCAATATACTCTTTTAAACAATGTGCTGATTGTCATGTTTCTTTTATATAGGAAATTAGCCATTGTTAAATAGTTTTCTTTCATGACAAATTTTTGAAATTAGAGTTTATGTTCATCTGTGTCTTTTTAACAACAGCATTTGAATAGACAGCATCATGAAGTTTGCTGAAGATTTTATCAGGATGCTATTTCTTGCATGCACTAGGAATTTGTAGTGAGGATGAGACAGAAAAGATTGCCTACTTAGAAATATCTTTTTCTTACAAGTTCTTCAAACAAGATTTCCCATGGTGCTTCAGCTGATAGTTAATAGCAATCTATTAAGAACATTCAACATCATAAGCATCTAGCTGCTTATTTATATTTATTTCTTAGAATTTTATGTCCTAAGAAGTATTTCTGCACCAAAAAAAAAGCAACCAAAAAACAAACAAACAAAAAATCCAGATAATACATAAATAAATAATTAAAAAACTAGAAAGAAGAGAGAGAGAGAGCATGAAGTAATGATATCTCAGTTAGGTCTTGAGTTAACATTTAACTTTCTGCCTGTGAGGTTTTTGAGTGATTATTCCATGTGATGTACCCATATTATGGACAAATAAAATAGTATAAAGACACAAAAGTGACAGAATGTCAGTTCAAATCCAATGTCATTTTGCCTAGGTATCATGCAAGTAGATCGATGATGGTTCAGTGTCATAGAGTTTCAATTTCAATTTTTATGTGATACATAAAGCAGTTTTGGAGCTGAGTTATGTGAATTAGTGAATTCTTAGAGTAACACAGTTTTATTCAGTGACCCACAGAAAGGCAGATGGTCTTGATCTGGGTTTGTTTTCTGTCTTACTGGGGAAATAATAATGTCAAAAGCCATTAAACAAAGTAATGTTCTTTGAATTTATTAGATTTCCCTATAAGCATATTTTGACAACAATAAGGCACAAGAGCTAATGAGTGAAAACTTGTTTTCCTCTTAGATCTTCCAAATCATATTTTGTATTTGTCTTGCTATACACCTTACCATCTCACAAACAACAAATACACAATATTCTTGAATGATGTTCTTTGAGACTGATAACCTGTGTAAATTAACAGTTACAGTGAAATAATTTAATTTTCTACTGCGTGATATAACTTTAACTAGTAAAATTGCACCTAATCAAGAAAAGTAATAATAATTTTTTCATTGATTTTGTTTTTCTGTTTTATAGCTCAAAAAAAGATCATCATTGCTTGGTTTGATCTTCTTACTTCTGTTGTTGTTGCTTTGACATAAGAATTAAATTCATGTGAAACCATGGCTTAGCCTATGTTGGGAAAGGTTAGCATGACTATATATTGTAATAAAGAAATGCCAGCAAGTTCTGCTGGTGAACACACTTCTTTCCTGGAATCATTTATGTGCAACGTATTTCGTATTCCTAAGATCAGTTTCCAAATCTAGTAAAACATTCTGGACTTGTTATTTTTCTTTAAAACAGTATTCACACAGGCCTCTCAACAGTGCATAAATTACTTTGGCAGAACTAATCTCTAATGTAGACTTAATCATTATATTGATCAGACTCTTGGAATGTTCTAGTAATGTGAATTTGTGACTTATTAGAGTTGCCTGCTGTTATATGGCTTATTTTGCAAATGGAATAAATACTGAGTAAGTCTAAATGGTGCACAAGTTTAGCTTAAGTGTATACATTTTAGTTCATAGTACTGCTACAACTTATATTTGAATTGCTGTAGTGACAAACTAGAACTATTTTAATGTACCATTCTGCTGTTAATGCAAATATTTACATCTTTGTGTTTTTACATTATAGAATATTTGATATTAATTAATATTGATCTTTTTCAGTTTTTAGTATACATACCTCTCACCCACAGTGAAAATTATTGGTTTTTTTTTTCTCCTTCTAACTGCTATTGTAATGTTTACAATAATCTTGACTTTAGAAATTCTTTATATAGGGTCTATATTAAAAGAGAAATAATATATAATGTCACTTCTCTATTAACAGCGCTTGTCGAATGGCTCCATAGACTCAAATGATGAAACCAGTCAAGTTATAGAACTCCAGGAGCTACTTGAAAAGCAAAACTATGAAATGGCACAAATGAAGGAACGTTTGGCTGCACTGTCATCACGGGTGGGAGAGGTAGAGCAGGAAGCAGAAACTGCCAGGAAGGAGCTCATTAAAACAGAAGAAATGAACAGTAAATATCAGAGAGACATTAGAGAGGTAAGGAGTTCAGTATATATACCTCACATACCTTGCCATTTTTTCCTCATATACCGATACAAGCTGACAGGGATCAATCAATATGAAAAGCAAACTTGAGCAATGACAAATGCCCTTGGACACAGGAAACACAAAATTTACAGTAAGAAATAATTGTACAAATCTTGTTAGAAAACTGTATTCATAGAAGTGGGCGTGCGTATGTGCAACTATAATAGGAAGATCTCTGTGTTTTAGAATTGCTAGAGCACAAATTGGCAATTATTTCAGCCATTTCCACATTTTAATGCTGAAATAGATTTAACGGAGATGCTGGTCATGTAGATAATCATTTTTTAAAACTTTGGGCCATTATGTAAATAACAGCATTTAATATAATCATTTATTATCTGTATTCTTCTGTGACAGCTTCATGTTCCAATACGTTATTCACTTCTCTCAATAAATCAGGCTAAGAAATTTTTCACTGCTGTATATAAGCATCAGAGAATATCCATGTCTGGCATGGAAATATATTGCAGTTTTTTTCTTTTCTACTCTAAAAATTTGTGGCTCTCCATGGTACTCTCCAGAATATCTTATGTAGAACTTGATATGTGTGAATGGTTGACTTCTGGAACCTATTTTAGTATTTAAAAGTAGAGTAATTGTCTGTAACATTCCTTTCTACAGTACAGGTATTTTATTCATGTGCATGTTATTTGTTTGTGTATGTTTGCACATTATATAAATGTTTAACCTGGTATTCCTAGTTATCTGGCAGAAATGTTCCCTCTGAACTTCTGACACTACTGCAACATGAAAGCCTCTTCTCATCTGTGTGCTGTTTCTTTTAAAATACTGTATGTTCCTTATAAGGTTACAACAAAGTTTGCACTGATGTTTCTCCTTTTCGACAGCTGCTCTTTATAGAAGGGTGTCTAAATTCCTCACTCTCATTTACTTTCTGACAATTATTGCTTTTTCCTGTACGCCTTGATTGCTGCTTGCTGTTGCTGCCACTTCTGTCTTGCTTACTCTTTGTTTCAATCCTTTGCTTCCTAAGTGAAGTGGCCACTAACACATTTTAATCCTTATCCATAACATATATGGGTAATGTACTTGTATGTCATGGCTATGTTATGTATCCAGCACTGTGCTCATTTGCATTGTGCAATTTAAGGAAATGTCATCTGCTGTCTGTTATGTGTAATTTGGCAAAAATTTTATCAGAACCTAGGAATAACAGTAGGTGTGCATATACATTTTTCACAATATCACCATCCTACATTTGTATTATTATGCAATAATTATGCTTTATAATATTATAATATTATAATTGTAATATTATGCTTACCATTTTCTGATCAAATAACTGTCATTGTTTAAAAAGCAAACAAGTAAACATAAGCCAATTTTGCTGTGCTTACTTGCATGGAAAAATGCAGAAATTAGAAAAATATACAAAATTTGAGAATTGTTTTTCTGCTCTACTCAACAGCGAGCACTTTAAGCATCTTTGGTGCATCAAACCTGAAAAGGATTAATTTCTCCTTAAAACAGAAAAGTCATGCTATACACACCTTATGTACTGTTTGCTGTTAGCAGGAAGAGTAAACTGGTATAAAATTATGTGCCCTTTTAATTGAATGGTTCTTGATTATTTTTTTTTTAATTTCATTTTAGGCAATGGCACAAAAGGAAGATATGGAAGAAAGGATCACTACACTGGAGAAGCGCTACCTCAGTGCACAGAGAGAATCCACCTCCATACATGACATGAATGACAAGCTGGAAAACGAACTGGCAAACAAAGAAGCCATCCTACGTCAGGTGCAGTATCTGTATTAGTCTGTTATTTTCTTCATATATAACAAAAATTAACATGAAAGGTGGGGTGTATCTAATGCATGAGATTTTTACTGGGTTAACCTGCTCCTTTTTTAAATCATGTTAATCTAAAAAAAAAAAGTTTTTTTTTTTTTCTTCTCTAAGCCTCATGTTAGCTACTACGACTATGAAAACCAAGCCAATGTGTGCATTCAATGCTGTGAAATAACTGTGTTTTCTAAGTGTCTTGCATAAATGTACTATGTCACAGTCCATAGGGAAAGGATCGTCTTTGTTTCTTATGTAATGATTTTCTAAATTTGGGGTTTGTTCGTTTGTTTGTTTGTTTTTGAAAGAAAAATGAATAAAAAAGGACAGCAAAAAGAAACTTACTTCTGTGGGAAAAAAAAAAACTCACAAAATTTACATGAAATGGTAGCACATTAAGTGTTTAGAATCTACGATGTAATTAAGATTTTATGAAGATAAACTATCTATGAATATCTTTTAGAAAAGAGCATAATGGAATTTTGCATTTGTCTATTGTGGTGCCTTGTTTCCACAGTGAATCCAAAAGCTGAAGCATAATGTCAGTAGAAAACACTTTTAAATTTTGAGGAATACAAGGTGAACTAAAATAATATGAAGTTAATATCATTTAAAATGTAAAAGATGAAATTGCCCTTAACCTCACCTTTGGTGTCCCAAGTTTTTATTTTTCCTCACCTACCATATCTTAAAAAAAAAAAAAAAGTGGCATATGGGATAATCTATTTCTATGATTGTATGCAGATTTATTTACACACATATGCACACAGAACTCTGCATATATATATGTAAGTGACTACATAGTCACAGAAATCAAAGTACCAAAACTCAAATACTGCAGCTTATGCCAGTTTCTTTTGACTATTTCAAGACATATCTTCAGTTCTTTGGGGCAGGCAGGTTAGAAAGGAACGATGGAAAAGCAAAGTACACCCATCTGTCCTTAGAGACTTCATTACTGGTAATGTAAATCATACTGTGCTGTAGAGATCTACCTACTCAAAGCAGTGATCAATACAACTACATCTTGAATATATGCAAGCAGACTTTAAGTTCATTTGGAAGATTTTCATATGACAAGCCTTTTTCTTCATGTTTTTGGAGAACTGACAAACAATCTCATATCCCACTCCTTTCTCATGATGACTTCTATTACTTGGAACAAACAGGAAAGCAGGTAACAATTATCCATCCATTAGAAAATTCTAAATCATGATAGATCTCAGTAGGACAGAAAATACTGCAGTTATCAAAAGCCCTACTGTTTCTCTTCAATAGTTTTCACATATTAAACAATTTCACGTTTGTAAAATGAGACAATTATAGCTTTACAATGAATAATTTCATTGAAACCTTAAGTAACTAGCAACCATTTTTTAATAGTGAACAAATTAATTGAGTGTCAGTCTTAACATTTCTAATTACATTGTTGGCATTTGTTCAGCAAATTCACAGGGAGTTCTGTCCTTCTGGAATTGTACTTCTTTCCCATTTTAGCTTGTATACATAAACTTTTCTGTAAGGTGGATGAAATACTTCCATTTAGAAATTTCTCATTTTACTGGCACCAATACTTTTATTTTGCTTAGATAAACAACACATCGACCAGAGGAGGTTTTTATTCATCTTCATAAATACCATTTTATGATACCTTTTTTTCACCATCATATGATCCTGAAGCCTCAAATCACTCATCATTAATAAAACTGGCAGCCTACACAGTTCCATGCTTGAGGTAAAACTTTTCCAGTAAGTTCCCCCAGGTTGTGGAATACCTAAGCCTTTACAATGAGTTTTGATTGCTTCCCTGATACCTAAGTAATTGAAGGAAAGTCTTTATTCTAATTTCACTGTTTATAATTTTTCATCTATCTTTGGCCTTCAGCTGGAAGACAAAAACAGACAGCTGCAAGAGCGTCTAGAGTTGGCAGAACAGAAGCTCCAGCAGACAATGAGGAAGGCAGAAACCTTACCTGAAGTGGAGGCTGAACTGGCTCAGAGAATTGCAGCTCTGACTAAGGTACTGCCCTGAGAAGCAGGTTCATTTCAGAAGCCCCATTGTTTAACATTAATTTGCATCTTGATTCCTCAAGGACAAAAGAAAAGAAGTGTTGAGCTGATTTGAAAACATATGTCTTCTGATAAGTATGTGCCACAAGTTCAGTATTAACCAGAAATGGTATCGTTGCCATGTTTCCAATTCTTACCTTTTGATAACAGATAAAATAGTTCCCTGTAAGATAACCTACAGTATATTTCCAATATATGCAAACATTAATTAGCCTGGGGAGATCTATTTTACTGCGCAAGAGTTAATGATTTAAGGATTTTTTTTTTAAATAAAAGATATATTCCTTCTCATACATATTTCTGAACATTTTCACACATCAGTTGTAGGAAACAAAAAATATTCCAATGAGAGCCACAGAAACAAAGCATAATGGCAGCTGGGATGATTTGTACAACACAAACGAAGACAACTTGCAGTACATACTTACAGGGCTTGTTTGCATGGTTCTTTGAATTCAAAAAGAGCAATGTGAAACTAGGGAGTTCAAACTGTGTATTCTGTGATAACAGTTTATTGCAGAAAAATAGAAGGTAAAAACAAACTTTTAGTAAGACAGTTTTCATATTTGTTCACTAATATTTTCAGGTGTGCATGTGATTAATACTGCAGTTAAGGTATTTCCAGCACCGTAAGGACATGTAATATAATTACAGACTGCATATTCTGCATATTCAAATCATGGAAATTAAAATGCATTTAAGAGATTAGTAGATAGCACTGCTTTATCTTAGCTATCATTTCTCTGTTGCCAATGACTGTTTCTACTGTTTCTAGACATTTATATTCCCAGTAATTTTCATATTTAATGGATTTACTTTTCAATTTTCATGTATTTCACTTCATAGTAAAGCCTTAAGTGCAGAGCACCTCATTAATAAAGCTTGATTACAAAAAATTTAGTTAAGAAGTAGAAACAGAAAAGTTTTGGAAGGATTTTTTAAAATGTTTTATTAAGGCAAGATCATTATTCAGTAATCAAGATTTTGTGCTATCCACTTTAGGTTTATATGAATGGGTGGGATTCTGAAGGGCAGATTGAAAATGGTGGGGAAAAAAAAAAAAAGAAGCAGCAGCAAAAAGAAAACTACTTGAAATATTAAAAAATATAACTGCATTTTAAGTAAGAATCAGAAAGAAAGATGCACAAAAGTTCAATCCCTTGACAACGTTTTTTTTCAGTTGTATTTGATTCAACAAATATTCAGATTATCTAATACCCTTAGCAGTTTAAAAATACTATCTTTTATTTTAAATAATTTTTCCTGAATAACTTCTCCAGCAATTAGGCACCAGTAAGTGTTTTGCAGTCTCAAGTATGTCTTTTCTTGCAACTGCATGTTTCCTTGAACATAAATTAATGACAAATATTGTAAAAATAAGTCTCATTTCAATGATGCAGAATACTCAGAAGCTTCCATAAGATACTGCTGTTATTGTAACCATAAAGCTGCAGTAGATGTGATTAGAGATCGGAGAAAAGAGCTGATGGCCCACCTCATTTCACTTTGATGTATGTTTTCAAAGCTTTTGCCAAGAAAGTAAATCTAAGGAGTACATCTGACTGCAAGGCTAGCTCATTCCATTCTTCTCTAATTACAAAAAAAAAAAAAAAAAAAAAAAAAAAAGAAGAAACTAATTGTATTTAAAATTCTATATTTTTGGAATACATGCCATGAAGAAGAATGTCAGAATACAGGCTACATAAGGCTATGGTTTATATATCTTCTGTATTATGTTTGCAAAATATAGAACTTATTAAAGTGTTGCACTGACAGCTCTGAAACTTCAGGCCCTTTGCTCTTCATGAGTCACATAAAGGTAGTTTGGAACCAGTCACTGCAGCTAAGTTGTTTTATGTCGTCTAACTGGCATAGTTACCTCCCAACTACTCGAAAGATGCAAAACCTATGTGAGGGACTGAGTAATGCTAGGCCATTTTATCTACATTGAGCTTTCTTCCAGCATAAAAATCATTCGTAGTACTTAAATTAGCTGGCTTCAGGCTGCCTTAAGTCTGCCTACCTGATCTGTGGTCGCTGCAATGACAATGTGCATTAAGTAGAAGATGAGTCCCCTGATTCAACTACCCTTTCAGCTCTGCAAAAAATTCAAAGTTTTGATTCTCCTTTCTTTTGTACTACCTCAATGAAAGTGGCTTCACTGAGATTAATGGGGTTACAATCATGTGAAAGAGGTGAGTTAAGCCTAATGTATTTTACATGTTTATCAAAGGAAAGTACTATCGGACAACTGGAAACCACGACTGCTTCATTGTGGGTAAAATATAAGACTGGTTATTTACACGTGGACAAAAACCAGAACAAGCATATTTTGGAGTTGGATGTGATATTTTTTTCTCACATTTAAAATATGCATGTTACAATTCTGCATTCAATTTATTATACTCTTCCTCATAATTAACCTGGGTTGGGATTCTGCATTCTGTAGAATGAGATCCTTCTGTTGTATCAGTTTAAAAACTTGAGTTACTTTTCTTTCTTTCTTTTTTAATATGGGCTAGTGAATGTCTTTTGCTACTTTTCCATACCCAAACTAGTTCATAAGGAGTGAACTTCCAAAAGTTTGGACTGTACAGTGAACTCAGATAAGTACTCATAAATTTACCTGAATTATTCAAACTTTTCTTTGGCTTTGTTTTCACTGTGTTCTGCCCATTGGGTGAGCAACTGGAGGGTTAGTCAGCCTGTGGCAAACTAACCTGGAACAGCATGATCCCATGTACTGTGCTGTCCTGCCTGGCTGTCACACTGGCATTCTGTCTGGTCATGACAAGTAGCACAGCTCTCAGCATGTATCCCAAGGTTTAGACTACCATGATTCATTGAGCCACCTTGTACTCACTCTCACAGGATTGGTCTGTTTGTCTGCCCTGGAGAAGAGGCAGTTGTTAACAGAAACAATCACTCTCCAGCATTAACTAAAACCTTTATTTGTCCTGGACTATGTTTATTTCCCATAGACAAGACAGATGTGATAGCAATTAGCATCTTAAAATGGTTAGTCTATCAAGCAGTTCCTCATTGCCTATATTTAGAATAGTCTAATGGAGACAGCAGCATCCACTTTTTTCCATTTGGTCACTCCCACCAGCACTCACTCTCCTCTTGGGTACTTGTGCAGCAAGGGTTCCACATTCACTTCTCTGATCACAAGACAATGTAATTCATTTTAATTCATCATTCCTATATACAGGTAACCAGAAATACCAACAGTGCCTCATTTAGCTGCATTACGAAAGCACTACCATGATTTTGGGCACCAGTTCTATATAATATAATCATAATAAAATGCATTTAGCATAGTAAGAAATTCTGCTTATTTCAAAGGTGAAGAACAGTGACATGAAAGTTGGAGGCAAGTGGGTCCTGATGCAAGTTTTGTGATGATATGGGGATCTGGTCTGCATTAGATAGGGAAAAAATTACAAGATGGAAAGAGAAGGGCTATAGATGAAAGGGTGCAAATGTGATGAGGAAGGTCTCCTGCAAGCAGTGGATGTGGTTAAGTCAAAAATTCTTTTGAGAAGCATGAAGAAAGATAAGATCTATTAGCTGGAGAAGGAAGTTGAATAATCTTTGGGAAACAGAGAAAATCTTCTACAGGGAAGGAAGCCCAAGAAAACTCTTCAAAAAACTTAAAAAAAAAATTTACAACACCTCTTTGTCTTCTGAAAACACTCCTCTTCTTGTGCCTCCTCTTCCATGGAAAATTTTGTCCTATTTGATATGAGGAGGTAGTGAAAAGCAAGCTTAATGGAGCTAGCTGGAAGGCACTTCTTACTAAACATACGAGGTGTATGAGGTAGTGGTGAGACACAGGAGATACAAGAATGTGTGGATATCTCATGACTGAAAGATTGGGTATCAGGAAAGGGGTGACTTAAGCCAAAATGTTTTTTCATTATTCATAATGGGCTAGAAGCGAGAATGAAATAACTAGCGTATAACTTTTTGAGCTGTTGTCACTCAATCACCATTGTCACTTGTTTTCACCTCCAATTGCATAGCTCAGTTCAATAATACATTATTTTATTCTCGAATAATTCACTCATTCAAGAGATAGATATGAGAATATGTGCCAGAAGAAGAAAATATGGAGACAGCATATATTCAAAAATCTCAGTCTCAAAACTGTTCAAATTGGCTTGTACCACTAGAAAAGTTGGGATTTGTTGCTGCAGCTCAGCATGAGGAAGAAAAAAGGATAGCACCTGTACTATACAGGTGCTTTCTGCATCATTATGACTGAAATTGGATTTTTTTCAGCTAAGATGCAAAGGCCTAGAAAAAGTGCAGTGCTAACGGTAACAACTAATGCAAAAGCAACATCTCTTTTGTGAGTGCATTAGCAGCAGGATTAACAGTGGAACTTTATCAGGTTACAGAGCAGTAATAAGGGCTGCTTTGGTACTCTATCAAAGAAAACTGATCCTGTTACTGACTTACAGGCAATTTCTTTGCTATATCATAGCATGTAAAGTGCAAAGTGAACATTAAGACTCGTGACGATATTTCATGGAGCCAGACATTGTTAGTTCTTGTCCAGGTGTTTTTAATTCTGTCTAAAATATACAATTTATAAACCTATTTATAATCGAATGTGCTGGCTAAATTATTTACCTGCTAATTGCTGAATACCACATTGTGTTTTAGTGATCTTTCTATACAGAGTGCTAGAAAACAGGCATGCATGTCATATTTAAAAGGAACGTAGGGTGAAGTTTGCCAAGCAAGTAACCACCCAAGTTGTCCTTTAGTAATTTTTAAGTTAATTTACCATCACCTTTAGCAAAGCAAGTCAGAAGAAATCACCGTCTGCTTATGAACCTTGGAATCCATGTTGTTCTTACTATCATTTTTCCTGCTACAGTAATATGAGTAACACTAAAATGGCTGTTTCAGCCTTTGTCTTATTCTAGAAGCATTCAGTGATGCAGGCTTCTGAGTCTCCAAAAGAGCTGCCACATGCATGTCAGTTCTAACAGTACTGGAGAAGACTGAGCAAGAGGTATTTGCAAATCCCTTAGGCATTAGCTGAATTGTTTGGTCTTCATCTGAAAGGAGTTTCTTTAAGACCAAGGTTTGAACTGGTTTCTGCCTAAAGGGCAATGAGATCTTGAAGGCCTCACCTTAAGAGCTTATTCCACCTAAGCACCCTAAGAAACAGAGGTGCTGCTCTTTCCTACTTAAGCTCTTTATCTGTTGGTAAGTTTCAGCAAGTGAAAAGAAAAGGGAATGTGTATGTACTTTTCTGTCTTCCTAGGCGTAAGTAGCTTTAGACAGGCAGTGGAGTCTAACTGTTTAATGTCTTAAATATAAAATAATTTGGCTCTTTCAGAATAGCAAAGAATTTGGGAATAAGCAAACAAGTCCAAATGGATAAGGGAAACACTGAACATTAAATACTCAAACAAGTGTTTAGAATAATTGCATTTATTTTGATACTAGGACACACTGAATTTTAATTAATCTTCAGGTATCTTTTCCTACTTAAGAAATTTAAAGAGAACTAATTTGAAGATCATCTCTGTTTTCTTTTATGCTGGAAAATTGAACACAGGTACTCTAGATCATATCCAGCAAGATCTGTAAGAAGAATGTCTGAATGTTTCAGATCTGTCTGAAAACTATCATGCAAAAAGATTTTTATTTATCTTATACATATACCTTACTGAATTGTTAATACACTAGAAATTAACGAAATAAGCAGAATTAGATAGTTGTAAGGATCTTAAAAAATCATTATTTTCTCTCAAGAGTGTTTTCTATGTTCTATAAGAACTTTGTGTTCATGTAGCATAAAAAAGTTCAGGAGATAATTATCCTTTTGCAGCAGTAGTTAGGGCTGATAGCACAATCATTTTGTACATCAAGAGGACAGTTTCCACCCACAAAGTAAGTAATGATTAAAAACCAATTTTTTATATTTGAAAAATAAATGTGTACGATATACCAGTCACACCAGTTTCTAAAGGACAGGCTGTGACAGGCAGCACCACATATCAGGAGTCTTAAATGAAATTCCTTTGAACCTTGAAGTAATAGACTATATTCTGCATAAACCTGCAATTAAATATAGAAAGTGGTCAAGATAGGTAACTCAGTTTTAAAGTTTGCAGTCAACTAATGAAGTTTCTAAGTATTTTAATTTTGTAGGGTGATACTCCTAATGGGTTCTGTATCTTCCTCAATGAAAACAGTCTCAAAAGAAGTAGAATTCCTTAAGCCTTCTTCATCAGCAGCTCAGAGCTTTGATGACTTCAAATCTTCTCCTGACCCATGGAGGTTCATTAAGGGAAGGCTTTGAATCAGTAGTGCAGTCAAGATTCAAAAAATGACCTTATGGAGATGAAGCTTGGTCACTTCATGGAGCGAATAATATGACTTGGCTCTCTGCAACTACAGGAAGTGAACATTTTCAGTCCTCTCTTCCTATTTATCCAATTTAGGAAAGAGAACAGAGCATTAGCATTTGATTGCTGAAGAAAATTAATATGTAAAATTCAAAATAAAATAGTCATAAAAGGATTGTCACTGGTACAAATCATAACAAAACAGTTTCAGGTAATGACTAAGTCCAAATAAACAGCAGGCCTGCTTCATGCTCAGAAACAATAACTGAACTTATAAGCTTAGTTAGAAAATCTACTGAGTGCCCCTTAACATTTGCAGAAACTTGAACTTTGTAAATATGTATAATTTGAAAGGAGTGTTAGTGTCAGTGATCTTCAAATTTATTAAATATTCTTGTATTTTATACAAGGACTTTGTATAATTATTGTCTCCATATCAAAATCTGTGGTTTATACTTATAAAACTCTAGACCATAATCTTGTTTGTATTCTGATCTTTTAGTCCTGATAATACTACTAAGTTTAAGTGTAGTATGATTACAGGTTATGGCATAGAGATGGAATTGTGTTGGTATCTACTGATAATTATTCTTATAAATCATTAGCAGAAAACAGTGTCTGAAAAACAGTCTCACTAAAACACAGAGCTGTAAAATTACTATTTATTGCTCATATCAAAGCTTTTTAAATCTAAACATGGAGTTCAGAATCTCTTTCTGAGGGTAAACTTGACAGAGTGAAATATTCAGCATTTGACAAACACAAACTCACAATTCAACTTCATCAGTAGCACTGTCTATACACCTTATGCACATTCCTATTTTCATAGCAAAAAGTCTAGTACAGTACTGTCTTTTTATTAAGTTTTGGGTGTTGGTTTTTTTTTTTTTTTCCATTTTCAATAATAACGTAGGCTTGTTTGATATGACAATAACATGAATATTCATGTTCTGCAGTACGTTCTGTTGACCTAATTAAGGTCACCTTTGGTCAGAAGTAGTAATGAATCTTTGGTTGGATTATTATTTCTATATTCAGTAATGACTTTCCATTCCTATTAATGAATTTTTATTTATAGGTTCTTCTTTTGTCTGATGACCTTGATCTTGTCAAGGGATCCACCAGGGTGGATCCTTTCAAAGGGATGAATACCATGTTGTTTATTTGGACGAAAGGACTTACATGGTGTATTCTAAGATGGAATACTGAGTTTGTCTCTTCTTACATTCTTTCTGTTTCGTGGAAGACAGAGAATGTACTATAACATTGCACAATTCTATGATTGACCAATCCATAAATTTGATAGTAATGCATTGTTTTCATTTCTAGAAAATGATAGAAAATTATAAAGGACTTTCTGCCATTGGCCTCTCAGAGTCTTGTTCTGGTGTTGGTTTGCCATCATTCCAAAAAACATTAGATTAGACAGTATTGCTTTAAATCCACTCTGTAGTAATGTGTCATCAGCCAGCCATCACTAACCTTGAACTTCCATGTGTAGGTTGATAGCTTTTTTAGCATTCCATTATTTTTCAGTTTCTCCATACCAACTGCATCATATCCGCCAAGTATCAGTATAGTTTATTCCACTTAAAAATCTGTCAGTTAAAAGTATTAATTCTTCAAGTCACACTTTTCTTTTAAGCATTCTGTGCTGTGTTCTGTTCAGTGTCAGTGTCTTTAGTTCTGATTTTTCAATTTTGTCCCTCTCCTTTTCCTTGACTCGTTAGTCTGATCCAACCTCTTCTACCTCATCTGGTGATTATCAATATGTTATGGAAGCTAAACTACAAGAAATGATCTCCATACGTAGGAAGGTAGTCCTACTGGACTTTACTTTCTATTGCTAAATAGAATCCATCTGATTTGTTTTGATTTTCTTTAACTTTTTTTTTTGTTTTAATTGATAATCAACCATCGTGCAGTTCAGTGCTTCAGGAGCTTACAATTTTACGATGGCAGGTTTGTGTTCAAACCATGCACAGTCTGCATGTTACATTTGGCTGATTTCATTGCTCATAAATAACTCCAATGTTTTGCTGATGCTTGGATGTAACAGGCCTTTGTAGCTGACACATTTCAAGCAATGCTGTTCAGCTGCCTGTTTAAATAAAGTTTCTTTTCTGAAAACTAAGTTTGCAGTTAGTAGTAGCTTGCTTTATGTTTTGTTTAAACTTTACTGAGATAAAGACACACAAAATTGATTGAATTATAGAAAGATCTTTTTATTTTTTACAGGCAGAAGAAAGACATGGAAACATTGAAGAACGTATGAGACACTTAGAAGCTCAACTTGAAGAGAAGAATCAGGAACTTCAAAGAGTATGTGTATTGCAGGCAACTTCTCTGTAATTTCCCTCTTTTAATTTGTCAATATAGTGCAACTTACACACTCCAGCACACAATTCTATCCACTGGTATATGTTTTATTTATAGAAGTGATGGCAGCATCATCACATTTTACTCAAAGATCTTAATAAACTAGTTTATATCTACTTGCAGCTTTCAAAGTAGTTTGCTTTTATGAAAATGAATGTGCTTTAGTCAGTAACTGTAGCTGTATTACCTTTTATTTAAGTGTATTCAGCTGACATAAAATCTTTATTTTTTGGAGCTACAAGTCTGCACTGGTTAATTTTGGACCTTGCAAATCTGTCTCTTCTATTCTACACAAAAGGCAAGGCAAAGAGAAAAAATGAATGAGGAGCATAACAAAAGATTATCAGATACTGTAGACAGACTTCTGACAGAATCCAATGAACGCCTTCAGCTGCACCTAAAAGAGAGAATGGCAGCACTTGAAGAAAAGGTACAGTACAAAGAATAAAGTTTCACTCAATAAAGATTCTCTTGTATGAAACATGTTCTACATTTATCAAGACGGAAATATCATGCAGTTTTGTATGCAACAATTATGACCACAAATATAATCTAACTCTTACATTCTGTACATTCAACACATCGTGCATGTATGAGCACAAGAATCTTTCCATGATACTCTGAACTGGAAATTCTGTGTGTTATGAATCCCCTCTTTATCGATAGGGAGCCTGATTAATTGGCTCATGAAGAACCAGGGCACAGTGTGTTACAAGGGAGTGAGATAAAGGGCATTAGAACTGAGAAATGACCATGTTTCAGATACGCCATCAATTCTGAATTTCAGCTTGCTGATTTTACCTCACTTCCTCTGGAAGAATAACATACTCCCACCACAGGAGGAGAAGAAATATTATTTACAGGTTTTCTGTGAGGAGCTAACTCTGAGAACTTTTTATTTATCCTTCTTTAATCCCTCTCTCTTTAGTCTGATCTAAGGGGAATCTTTCAGTATATTTATTCTGAAATCTTTTGCAGGATATAATTCAGGTTTACATCATTGAAACAAAATGTTGTAACAAAGCAAGAGATAGGCCTGCCAAAAGAGGGCCTGGACAAAATAATTGTCTAAGAGCATGATGGTTGCTCAGTTCAAGGAAAATGAAAAGCTTTTGCTCTTTTTGAAAAAACAGGCTAATACATTTTTGAGTAATTTATGTATTCAAACTGAAGCTTTAAAGGATTTTAGTTTTACAATCGAGTGAATGTGCAGGCTCATTTCTTAAATTTGCTATCTTCTACATGGAGATTACCTGCATTTGGTGATCCCTGTTATATAATATTTCTCTGATTTCTTTCTGCTTATCTTTATTTCACTTTTTCATTTTATTTGTAGAACGTGTTGATTCAAGAGTCTGAAAGTTTCCGGAAAAATCTGGAAGAATCTTTACATGACAAGGTACTACTAAAACTTACTTTATCTGTTCCCATCAAAAGTTAAATACTTATTATTTGGACATAAAATACACTCAGTCATCCATATATCATGTGAAGTCTTCCTGGTACCTAGGATAATTCCTTTAATCACAAAGATGTTTTCAAAAGCCAATGAGGGTCTCTAACAAGTCTTCTGAGATAAGTTCATGGTTGAAATCCTAGCCTCAGGAACCCAATACTAAAATTCATATTAATTTCACTGGCTCTGTAATTTTTGTTCTATTAGATTTAATTCTGAAAAAAAGTCTTCTTTAAGAGAAATGTGCATGTAACTGGTTACATTTTCATAGTTACAAATGTAATTTCTTCTTATGATGCAATTCTTAACAGACGCTGTGGCATTATGCTAAGTCTAACTGAAAATGTCCTTTCTTAGTTCATTGCAAATTAACCCCTAATACTGCTTAGTGAATCAGTCACATTAATAATAAATATTATTCCAATCCCAAATATTAAAATTTTCCTTTGTAGTTATAGTTGCCTTGAGGGCAGCAGCAGTATTCACAAATCTGATATCTGCATTCAGATTCACAGAAATGTTTTTTTAATGTATCAAATCTACTAAAAGAATTTACAAAACAGAGCTCAGTTCAATACAAAAATAAATGTGAAATTCAGTATCCAAAATCAACAACTTTCAGAAAAACAGCAAAGAAGGATCTGTTCAAATCAATTGCCATTTTTAATCTATATTCAGACAATCTTCTAGAAAAGCAGAAAGTCTGAGAAGGGAGCTCATGAAATTGTCTGTGCTCTTGGCAGCTGCCAATATGTTTCTGAAGTGAGAGAAGCAGTTTAGAACTTACTTAAAGGGAATTTATACTGCAGTAACTCCTCTAGAACAACTTATTGAATATCTACTGATCTATAATAGTAGTATCTTTATATGATGTAGTTTATTGACTGATTTATTGGGTGAGCATGCCCTAGTAAGTGTTATACTCACCTGCATAGATGTATTCTTTCCACTGCTATTTGTTTTATCTTTTCAAAGTGTATGAATGATTTTGTTCAGGAACGTTCTGCAGGCTTTCTTTTCAAAGCAAAGGATAGGAGACAATTGTTACAAACAGCACTTCTTTTCCCTAGTCATTGATGTAGAGCTTTTTTCTTACTTTGTTCCCAAATCCAATTTTTTGGTGCATTTAATATTTCACAAGCAGCACCGTGTGCTGGAGTTTTAGAAGCTCTCAAGAGTGCACTGTGAAGCTGCAGGTGAACAGAAGACCTATAAGCGAGTTGTCTCTAAGTCTGTGTTTCTGTTTGTAAATAAAAAGGCGAGTAGCCAAGCTCTACCTCTAAGGGGCAAATGGTGCGTCACAAGCTGATCTATGCTTGGTGTCCAGTTAGTGCACAAATCAGTGTTGTTTTTTCTTTTCCATGCCATAGTGTCACAGAAAGAAAAAAAATCAGGTTTCAACTATAAACTTGTCCTGTCATCATCTGCAGATAGTGGTAAAATGATAGGGAGACTGATGCAATCTCCTTTTGATATGTAGGTCCTTTAGTGATAAAGATAAAGAGGCTTGAATGAGTTTCCTGCTTTTCCTTATTGTAGGCATATCTACATTCAGTGTATTTTGTCCTAGTTATTTAGTCTTACAAGGTTGTATCTCAGAAACTTGAATGCATTTTGGATCGCAATTAAGTATGTCTTCTTATTCTGATTTCCAGGAAAGACTTGCAGAAGAAATTGAGAAACTGAGATCTGAACTGGATCAAATGAAATTGAGAGCTGGTTCTTTAATTGAACCCACATTGTCAAGGTAATATTTAATGCCAAATGTTTCCTCATTTTGAATTGAAAGAGAAGGTAAGCATAAGTGACAAGACTTTAAAATAATGCATTCAGACCACGTATAATCATGTATTTCTTTTAAACTACGGGATCTGTGGAATTATTATTACTGTTGTTTTTCACTTTTTTTTTCTATAGGTAAATGGGGCCTTGTAGTAGTGAGTATACACTGAAGTATTACTGTGATTAAGGGAAGTCTTTGAAATTACAGTGATTTTAAAAGTGTAGCCAAATACCCTTTCTCTCCCCCCCCCCCCCCCCCCCCCCAAGATTTTTTGATAATGAAGTTATAACCATCACTGCATCTAAGATTTTTTATTATTATTATTATTATTATTATTATTATTATTATTATTAAGAAATAACATAGCTTTGCCTAGTGTGTAGGACAAGACCACATAATGTCATCTGAAGGCAGTACTCAGAGAGATTTGAGAACATCCTAACAGGGCACTGAACAGTGAGACAGGTACTGTAGGTACTACACTACTAACAGCTTAAATCAATTTATTATTCTAGAAAGGCAATTATTCTTTCTTAAATTTCTTCTTGCCCTAAAACTCAACCTTCAATTTCTTTTGAAATAATACTTTTCATAGAATCACAAAATATCCTGAGTTGAAAGGGACCCACAATGATTGCAATGTCCAAATCCTGGCTCCAAAAAGAACTACCCAGAATCAAATCCTATGTCTGAGAGCACTGCCTAAACACACTCTGAACTCTGGCAGCTCGGTGTTATGCCCACAGCCCTGGGCAGCCCATTCCATGCCCGCCTCCCCGGTGCAAACCCTTTCCCTAACACCCAGCTGCCCTCCCCTGACGCAGCTCCATGCCATTCCATGCTTCTGTCACACAGAGCAGAGCTCAGCGCTGCCCCTCTGCTCCCTGTGAGTGAAGGAGGCTTCAGTCAATATCTGTAGCTGTATTACCTGTGGAATTTATTTGTGTTCAGCTACCATAATATCTTAACTTTTTGGAGCTACGTGTTTGCAATGGTTAATTTTGAATCTTACAAATCTGTCTCTTCTTGCTCTATTCAAAGCCATAGTCTATAAATGTCCTAAATGCATTTTTATGGAAAATTTGTAGGTACTTGTACTTAGATTTCATATTTCTCTCTAGTTAAATCTCTCAAAATAAATAATTATAAACTATGCTATTTTTCAAAGGGCAGTTCTCCAATATTTTCATAACGAAGGACTGTAAAAACATGTTACAGATATCCTCACTGTTGAACAATTTATTCAGCAGCCAGTTGTGCTAATTATCTTCATGTTGAATTCTGTTTCTTCGATTCTTTTCTCAGGCCTCATCTGGACTCATCAGCAGAGTTGAGGTATTCTGTGGGCTCACTGGTGGAGAGCCAGTCTGACTATCGGTCAACTAAGGTGATAAGGCGACCTAGAAGGGGACGCATGGGAGTACGCAGAGATGAACCAAAGGTTAATATCCGATTTATTTTCCTATATTCTTTAGAATGAAAATGTTTTTCAGGCTGTTAAATTTAAGGCTTGCGTATTTCTGGAAAACCAAATAAATGAATAAGCACAAACACCAAGAGTAGTTTTTTTTTCTATTTATACATAGATCGCTGTTGTACTAAAACGCAGGCAGAAAACATTGCAGTTCAGACTCCAAAGTTGGAGTGTATTTGACTATTTGTCTTTTTTCATTATCTTCACAAATTTTCCTAGCAGTTAACTTTGCACAGCAGTAGAAATTATGTGAAAATAGTTTACATCCTCCACAACGCCAATCAAATGCCTTCTTGCCATAACGTTGCACGTATCAATGGAGAATTATTGAATAAGTATTCTTGAATGTGAGTTACTTTCCTTCTCCATTTTATAGTTCAGCTCTGCAACTGTTTTCTGTGGAATAAGACATATATATCCTAATTCCTGCTTAGGTAAAATCACTTGGAGATCATGAGTGGAATAGGACTCAGCAGATTGGTGTTTTGAGCAGTCATCCATTTGAAAGTGACACTGAAATGTCTGACATTGATGATGATGATAGAGAAACGCTTTTCAGCTCCATGGACCTCTTGTCACCAAGTGGCCATTCTGATGCCCAGACGCTGGCCATGATGCTTCAGGAGCAGCTAGATGCAATCAATAAAGAAATCAGGTATGTAGCCTTGAACCAGCTGTGGTGCATTTCTTGATTACAGCTTTAGGGTCCTTTCAGTGCATGAGCTTAGATACCATTCATAACAATTTGGAAACCACTTGTACATTTAAAGAATTGATAATGTATTTATTTATAGATAATTTACAGATTTATTCTGTATTTATTCCATGAATAGAACATTTATTTCTGTATTTTCTGACAGTAGGGAAAAATAGTTTACTGTCAAATAAAAGTTTCTTGCAAAGGACCACTGAGCAACTAAAAAGAAATGCATAAGAGAATGCTGACACATGGCAAATTTTACAAAATTCTATTCATAATCTTTTCAAGATCTTTCTCCCTGTTCTGTATAAATAACTACTCACAAATTACCTCCTATGTGAAAGGCTTTATTTCATTTCCTGTTCATGTTTTCCTCTGGTAACTTTTCCAGTGTTACATTTCATATAAGCCACGCTTTCCAAGAAATTGTTTTGATTTTCTATGGAACACAGTTTTTGTTGTTGTTGTTGTTTTCATGCACCTGATAGGTTATAGTACTGGGAAATAGGTAGTGAAATAATTGTGGCTTGCTAGTTTTTATGCAAATTTAATGGAATGAAGGAGAATTGAGTAACATAATTTATTTAAGGTATTTTTGTAAATGAAATCATGTTTTAGGCTGAAAACTTTCTTACAGTTTTTCAGGAAGAGTAACTTTTTAATAAGTTGATGCATCAAAAAAACATCATTTCTCTGGAAGATGTTATCAGTCACTTCTGGTAATTCTATGGACAGAAAGTGTATGTTTAGAAATACAATCAAAACCAGATTACCTTTTCAAGATCTCAATCTTTCTTTGCAAGGTAGTTTTGGAAAAAATTGAAATATATTGACTGGATAACATTTCTAGTCCCGGCAAGATCTTTTATTAGAGATCTGTAGCTTTTGGTTTTCGCTACTTCCAGAATTGAATGAAGATTCATGTGGGATTTAACCCTGGTGTAAACCAAGACAAAAAAGGCAAAGTGAAATTTTGTTGCTGGGAGGACAGAACTCCCTAAAACAATGCATTTTGAGTATGTAAAAGAGAAATCCATCAATATTTTCCATTACTGCAAAGAAGTCAGCAATTCAGGTTGCTGTAGATTCAACAAATGTATTTTATATATATATATTTTATATATATATATATATTAGCATTTTAACAATTTAACAAGTAATTTATAATACAGTAAAGAGTTTTGAAAAGAAGTTGTACTTGAAGGTGACATAATGTGATATTACTTGTGCCATCTTGAATCAAAACATTCTTCTACTAAACAGAGGATCTTGAATTAGGTAGTAGGTATTGTTTTATGTCATGAAAGGAAATATACACATTGTATATAGTCATTTTTGCTGGGGGTCATTTATTTCCCCTACTAATACTTGTATACTGGGATATAGGCTTTTATTTACCACCACCATTATTATCAAAATCCAGATAATTAATTTTATAATGTTTTGATTTTAATGTTTCAGGAAAAAAAAACAAAGATTCTATAATTATATATATATAATATATAAGTCATTATAAACTGTATTACATTCCACATTTTTTTAGTCTTTTTTTGTTGGCGAAAGGAGGTTTATCAAATGAGTGGGAGATATCAGGAGATTAAAAACTAGTTTTGAGTTGGTTGTATTATACAAGGCTATTCAGAATTTAGATATTTTGCAAAATATCTAAATATATATGTCTATTTACAAAACAAAGAAGATTTGTTCTGAATCTCTCTCAAAATGTTATTTGCCTTTGAGTTTCTTAGACTTCTCATTATAGAAAGAACAGTAGGTATTTTGTAGACACTTTGAAATAGATTTTAGGGCAGAAAATCTATCACAGCACAGGGATTTTTAGGTTTCCATTTTCAAAGTATTACGTTTTAATTTATTGTACTTCCTCCATTTCACGTTAAGAAAAATAACAAAACCAAAAAACCTCAAGCCTGGTTCACAGATTCAGACTTTCCATGTTTCAAATTCTGTCATATTTTACTATGACCCCTCATCCATTTTCCTCCTCTTTGCAAACAAAAAGATTCCTTCTGACTTTGTTTGTGGTCAAAACATATACAACAAGTCTTTTATTCTTAACATATTTATCAGAAGCAAAATAACCCGGTTGTAACGTTATATTGAAGCTATGTATGTTCAAGAAACTAATATTCATTTCCAGTGAGAGCTCTTCCAATGAAATTCACTTAAAAACATAATGCTTTAGAAACAGCTGTTATCTTTTCATCAATTTGTAGGGATGAAACAGGCAAATTGTCCTGCATGTTCCCTTGCTTTACTAATATAGATTATCTTAGCAATTCCCTTCTCAAAGACACCGTTTGACCTTAAATTTTTCTTTATGGTTTAGCAAAATAAAGTCAGCTGAATTCAACTTAAGATTGGAATTATTTTCCTATGGTAAATAGGATCGTTCACTCTCCCTCTCTTTCTCCCATGCAAAGAAACCAATCTTCCTGAAATATCATACATAAATTCTTGTTGTTAGGCAGATTCTTCAAACAGGTTTTGAGGTTGGAGGAATAGGAGAAAGGATTTTATAATTCTGGTGATTAAAAATACCTAAAACATTATTATTTTGGAGTTGATCTGTGAAACTTATATTTGCTTTCTTTTTGTTTTGAAAAGAAATATTTTTTTACATTCAGTTTTGGTGCATGCAGAGACAAAGGTAGAAATTGCAATGAGAAATTAAAAATACAGTTACCAATGGACATAAGTAACCTCCGCATAAGTATTTATTTTGTGCCAGTGTGTGTGTCTGTGTGCAAAATGATAAGTACCAAGTAAGAAAATTTTGCTTTCAAAATCTACAAACACTTTCAGAGTATTAATGTTGTCCTAAATCCAGCCATGTCCTTCAATTTTATAAGGTTAATCCAAGAAGAAAAAGAGTCAACAGAACTGCGTGCTGAAGAGATAGAGAACAGAGTGGCTAGCGTGAGTCTGGAAGGCTTAAATTTAGCCAGAGTCCATCAAGGTACATCCATTACTGGCTCAGTGACAGCATCATCACTTGCAAGCTCTTCCCCTCCCAGCGGACACTCAACTCCTAAACTCACCCCTCGCAGTCCTGCCAGGGAGATGGATAGAATGGGGGTTATGACACTGGTAAGAGACTCTGTGATGCTAATTTGGGGTGTGATATTTCTAGCATCATCTTTTACTGTATGCATGGCTCATCTCTGGTATCCAGATGTAGCTGTGCTAAAGCTCAGATGGATATGTCTGTGAGTTTCAGCCAAATTCTTAATGTATCAGGAGCCACAGAAATAGTGCCCCACAGCCTCACTTCACTCACCCTCTCTAGCACATACTTTGATCTTTTCAAGATACTCCCCCTGAGTTGCTTTCGCAGAAGTTGAATGTGAAATATCTCCTTATCCTTCCTGGCTGGGGACAGACACAATATACTATCAGACATCCTCTGAGAACACTGAGTTGGAAAGAGTTATGTAGAAGTCTCATCTCTAGAGCCCAAGTTACCAAATGGTCCTGTAGGGGTTAGCTGGAGGAGCAGTATCCCTGGAGTTTCTGCAGCCCAGGTTGAATACAGTGAATACATTCTGCAATATCTTCAGCTCTGAATGAGTGGAGAAAAAAAAAAAAAAGGAAAAAAAGAGTTAAACATGGCACATTCTAGCAACTGCCTACTGCCAAATAATATTGAAGTACAAGAGATGGATGAATTTGTATTCACTGACTCGGTAAGACACGGTAAGAGGAGAGAAATGACCCTTTTTCAGATGTGCTATTTGCTGATGATATTTTATGTTTATACTTGGTGAAACACTGATTTGTTTGCAATATTTCATAGAACTACAAATTTATCTGTCTTAGGGGACATGCTTACTGAAAGATTTTATATGAAAAAATTTTATAAAGTGCTGTCATAAATTTGGAATGTCCTATTCCATTCTAAGTTTATAAAAATGAAGGGAATTGTACCATTAGAAAAAGTAACTGCTTTCAGAGACAGCATATTTGTGAAGCATTGTACCACCATGTTTACTTTTATGTTCAATATATGGGTAGTATTAAATTTTGGATGTCAGAAGAAAGAGTGCGTGGCATTGTTATGCTCAGATAAGATATATTAATCATTCTTTTTTGTTGTTGTTGCTTCTTTTGTTACCGATTTAAGCCAAGCGATCTAAGGAAACATCGGAGAAAGGTAAGACTCTGGCTTTTTTTTAAGTCAGGAAAGTGCATTCACCATATTCCTCTGCTGTTTAAATCTCTAGGTTCCTTCCCACCCATTTCACCCCCTTCGCTCCTTGTCACCCAGTCCCCAAACATAATAATTCTAAATTTACCTAAAGAGGCTTGCAGTAGTCCCTACTATTCCAAGAATCAAGGCTCACAAGTGATACTTTGGAGTAGCCTCCCCAGCACACACTTAAAAGAAACACAGTGAAAAACAAGAAAACAAGTGGGCATGAGAATTACCTTCAGATGTATTTTGGCCATTTTTAGGAGAAATCAGTCAGACTGCTTGAAATCTTTGTAGCGGTATGAAGTTATTTGCGGAATTGTCACTGAATGTGGGCTTTATCTTTACAAGAGTAGAGACAATCTTCAATTTAAATTATTATACGTTGTGACAAAACCTTTTCTTCCATGCTTATTTTCAAGTACTCTGACCAATCTGTTATCATGCTCCAGAGGGATTGATCTTGTTTATGTCTGTATTTACCTTCCACCTTACCTGAGAATTTTGTTTCATGAATAATCCTGTTTAATGCAAAAAAATTGCTCATGAATAAAGTTATTTTCATGCTTAGACCGTTACTGGATCAACCTGTTTGTCATAAAAGAAATGAATTTCTTCTGCAAATATAGTCTTTGTTCTTTCATATATATATACTGTAAGCTACCATGTTTAGTCAATCTTGGTTTTTTTTCCCAATAGTCTTTTTAAGAAATAAGAAGCCTTCTTGTTATTATTTTTTAAAACCTCCTTTAAATCCATAAATGCTTCAGTTCAACTGGCAAATTTCTGAAGCATATGCTGAAAAGCTGATGAAAAGCTGTTCAGGTCTAAATGGTGTATCTCCCCCAGATTGCAGTAGTCGAAGAAGATGGACGTGAAGATAAAGCCACGATCAAATGTGAAACTTCTCCCCCTCCAACACCCAGAGCTATCAGAATGACTCATACCCTTCCTTCTTCATACCACAATGATGCCAGAAGGTAAGATTTCCATAACGTGAGTCAGAACTGAACTTTTGTGTGCTATAAAATGGCCTGATTTCCTCATATTTCTTGTTGGCAATTGCTTCCCCTGCCATAAAGAATAAACTTTTACCTTGGTCTCCTTTGTGAAGATGAAAGTATTTGTCAGTGCTAAAATTGACAAATTCTGTTTTAAGATATAGTTTTGATCCCTACCAGAAGTACTAGAAGTAGGGATCCTGCATTTCCTAGAAAGACAAATATCAGGCTGATTCCTGTATTTATATCAATTGTTCTTAGCAAACAAATATTATTATTTATTTTTGGCCCTGTATTGCTTTACATAATGCTAAATCAATTAAGGAGCAAGATGGGTTTAATTGTTTCAGTTGTGGGAAGTTTATTACTAACTTATAACGAATTCATTTATTTGCACGGCTGCAAGAAGAAAGTGAAAAATGTTAATATGTTATCTGTTCTATGTCTTTATTGTCATTTATAGTAGTTTACCTGCTTCATTGGAGCCAGAAAGTATTGGTCTTGGCAGTGTCAGTAGCAGTCAGGACTCCCTGCACAAAGCTCCAAAGAAGAAAGGAATCAAGTCCTCGATAGGACGATTGTTTGGTAAAAAAGAGAAGGCTCGACTTGGACAGCTCAGTAAGGAATTAGTGGTACCAAGCCGTGGTCACCACTTCGCAATCATTTTTCCTTTTTTAATATGTTCTTCTCCGCTTTCCAGTTTGCTTATTTTTTTCCATTTACTCTGATGGAACCTTGTCATTAGAGACTCCGTTGCTATCAGAAATTATATGTCATGAGTTTGCTGTGACTTTAACACATAAATGAAAGAAGACTTCTAACACAAATTACAAGTCATTCTCTTCACTGAACCTAGTGCTTCAATACTCTATTAAATTACAGTAAAAATGCTAACAGTGTGTTCTCAAATAATCAAAATAAAAAAGAGGTAAGAGAGTACTAAGAATAATCCCACTCTAAGGGGTATATCGACTATAAAAGGTCCTTGCAAGAAAGTGCATTTGCCTTTCTTGTTGCAGCACACCAGTAGATGTCTACTAGTACCTGTCACTGATGTCCTCACCATACTCTTGCAGTTAGCTATGGTGCCTATGGCAGTGCTTTATTTTCCTTGTATTTCTTTTCACCTTCTCCAAGATCTTTGTCTAATTCATGTCTGGGAACACTTTTCTTCTGAAATGTTCCACAGGACGTGTCCATACCAAAAAAAAAAAAGAAACATCAAAACAGTCATGGCATAATTTTATTTAACTAGCTACAGGTAGCAAAAGCAATGGAAAGTGAAGCCTTTAGCACAGTCTCATAGTCTGCATACCCAAACAGGTAATTACATACACATGTCAACACAAACATAAATTTGGTATAGATGCGTCCATAAAATTTCCTAGACATGAAGATGTCTGAGCACAGTTTTGTGAAACACTGATTTTTTACTGCCGTGGTGTCCACGTAACACCTGTAAAAAAAATTTAAAGGTCTGCAGTGGTTGTAAATGGTGGAGTAATACATAGGCCCAAATTAAAAACAACAAAAAAAAACACCCACAAAACCCACCACCACCAATAACAAAACATCTTCGTTCTTATTAATATATTAATATATTCTTCTTATAGAATATTATTTTCTTCTTATTAATATATTATTATTAATATATTATCATCACCACTAACGAAACCGTCACTGAAATACTACAGCATAAAGTTAGGTAATATTGGGATCAAAGTATCAGAGTAAAATCAAAGGATTAATTGTTCTCTATTTACACCCCAACTTTTCTCCTCTTTCTCTTTTGTTCTTGTAAAGAAAACCAGCTAATTTCTAATCTTAATTTAAATTCCTTTCTTTTTTCCTTAGTGTGGGAAGAATAAAATTAATTTATTCAATCATCTTCACAGCTTATTTCAGGATCCCATTAATTAGATCTCCCAAATACTCCTTCATGTTACCATCTGCCTGATTTTGTAACTTTAGACTGTGGCTAAATTAATTCTTAATTCACATTTACATGCCATAAAAACAATTGTATTAGGTATAATAATCTATGATTTCACAGTAATTTGGGAATACAGAGGACAAAGATGTAATAAATTCGTTGGTCTTCCCTCCAATTATTTTCAGTATGAACAGAAACAAAATAACACCTTGAAAGATTGTCTAAGGAGCAATGTAATCTGGCAATATATTAATTTCATAATAATAAACAAAATGATTAATAAGACATATGTATAATTGGCCAAAGCCTATTTATAATTCCCAACACTAGCTCATGAAATTATAATATTAGCTATTAATGAAGATGTGCAATTATATGAAATTTTTGTGTCATCTATTCTTTAGCTTAAAAGCAAAGTTATTCACATTAAAGAAGCAACACCGGATCCTCCAGTTTTATCACTAGGTTTTTCAAATCCAAGCTATCACTCAACATATTACCTTGCTCAATGTTACCTTCAAAACTTAGTTTCCCACTGCTAAACTCCTCTTTTTTTCATAATTATTTTCATAATATGCTATCTTTACCATCTCTGTTAAACCATGTGTGTCATTGTTCAAAGGCAAATTTCATGCCTTAGGGTATCTTTCTTAGCATCAAGATTCCATGTTACTAATTTCTTCCAGACGTCTTTTATTTACTGAAGAAGGAGAAAGGAATGTTACAGAGGATGGGAGTGTCTTATTTCATTTTCTTAATTTGTTTGATTTTAACTTGATCCAATCTTCTCTCTTTTGGGGAATAGCACTCCAGACATTCACGTGTTCTTCCCATTTTATGTTTTAAATATTCTAGTTCTTAAGGCAAATAATAAATAAGGGGAAATTTAGCCCCATCCCAGCAAGGTGGTGTGTATGATATATTCAACTGGTTAGGAACATTTATCACGGCCATCTACATGCCTGAGGTACAGACAAGCACAATGACCCCATCCACTGCAATGTGCCATAGATCATTCACGGGTCCAGATGTGTTTGTTGTGTGATAAAATCTGCTATGCTGAGAATACTTTGCAGTCTGGGATAATCTGTCATCGTTTCATCAGCACATTTCCCCATTAAGATTAATAAATAGTGATGGCATTGCTCAATTACGGCCATGAGGCTGAGCCTTAAGGAGGCTGAGAAAAACAGGCAAAAGAGATCAGGGTGCCTTTCTCAAACATTTCTGCTGAACACAAGGAGGAGGAAACAATTTTTCTTTCTACTTCTTTTCGTGTACTAAAAATAAACACCTGCCAGAAGCAGTTCTCCACTACTCCAGATGCCATAGATGACTTTGAAGGAGGATGGAACAGGGATTGAAGAGTTGAGGGAGGCACTGGGAAAGAGCTATGGGAAAATATGTATTTCTTTTCCCTCTTTCAACACAGGAGGTTATATTGAAACAGAAGCGGCAGCACAAGAGTCTCTGGGATTAGGCAAACTTGGAACCCAAGCAGAAAAAGACCGAAGGCTAAAGAAGAAGTGAGTACCGTGTTCATGTCACTTTTATTGTCTCGTGCTTGAATCAAATGTCAATTTTTGTGTTGATTTTATGCAGATGTGTACCAAGAGGCATCACCATCTACTATCACAGTTTTTGACTTACTGTATTTTTTTCTACAGTAAATGTTTTTAAAGCTGCGTATGAAATATAGGAAGAATAGGAAAAAATAGTTTTCAATTGCACTACATTGTTTCATTTGTAAAACATTAAGAGACGCTTTCTATTTCCCATTGTAATTAGTTTTGAGCCTTTTGGTAACAATAGTTCTGAACAAAATAGGAAGGCAGTGAAAAAAAAACATTATAGTGACTTACTACATGATTTTTTCTGAACAGAGAAAAATTGTTCACATTATCCATTGAACAAGCATTGAACATTGAAGTCAAAGGTGCCCCACAAGCCCTAGCAGCTTCAAATTCTTTTTTTTCCTGTCAGCAAATGGCAACCTCGCTGGTTGTTCGCCTAAATCATGTAATCATTTAACTATCTCTGGTTCACCTACTTGTAACACCAGTACATTGGTTGATGGCAGCTGCCAGGAAGTAAGGAGAACTATTAAAATAAAGCTTTAAACACAAAAGATACATCTTGGCAGCATCACAGTTCCAGTGTAATTAGAGGGTGTCTGAGAAAAAAAAGATTATATTTAAAAATGAGGTTGAAAATTCATTTAGTAAACAGGTTTATGTTTCATCCATAATTACTAATTTAGTGCTATTATTTGGATTCTGAAAGCCTGATTTTTAAAACGTGGTGTTTTCTGGTCTCTTTCTGCCTTTTAATGCTCCTTTGCAGTTTCAAGATAAGTTACAATCCAAGGATGTATTTCACTTATTGTTTAAACTTAAATGTAGAATATTTTTAACAACTACTTTTGTATCAAGTTTGTTTAAAAGCACATATCTGTGTGACATACAAATCTAAGTGTTCAGTTTAAATCAGCCTCAGTTTAGCAATTAAAGAGCATTCATTGTGCTAGCTGGCAGAGAAGAGTCATTTTCAATTCAACTGAGATACTCAGAATATTCATAGGGGTTTTTTTGGTTGTAAATCTATTATCAATCACTATTTAATAAGAAATATATGGAAGTATAGGATATATTACTACACCTCTTTATTAAATTTTAGAAAGCATTCCAATGACTATTCAGCAGTCTATTGGTTTTTTTTGCAACCCCTATTTATATTCAAGCTCTGGAGAATGAAGATAGCACAAAAAGAAAGGGACAAATGTGTTCATTTTGAAAGGACAAATGTCTTCACTTTGTCATATGCTATAGTTATTTAAACTGCTTAAGACAGCCTAACACTTGACACATACTTGACAGTACTTCATACATGATAGTGCCTACCAAGTTTTTGGTCTAGAAAATGTAGGTGTTTAAATAACCAGTTATTAGACTTCTGTCTAATCTCACATAACGAGACTTCCCCATGCCATCTTCTTTTCAAGTCTTTCCTTTTGTTTTTCCTTTTATCTGTCTTCTGTCCTTGGCTCTTTATGGATTAAGTGTAAACAAAATATTCTCTGCTGGAAGGAAAGGAATCTTTCCTTTGTGATCATCACTTGGCTGTGACAGATCATCTGGTCTGAATTGTATACTGTAGTATATGCTATTTACCTGTGTCATTAAGATTTTATTTTTTTTTCACCACTTTAGATTTATCCATATTCATAGCTTCTCACTTCACTATGACTACTTTTAAGATTCCTCTTAATTTACTATCACAGAAATGTTAACATTATATAACAGCTATAGAAGTACTTTAGTATGGGGAAAATGTAATATTTGTGTGAGAGAGATACATGGGATTCTGTTGAATTGTAATTGCCACTGAGTGCTAATTATCAACAGGGTAGAAGGGAACAAACATTTCATAGTAAAGAATGTATTTGCATGTCTTACCTTGGAAAGTATTTGGTTGAGTCTCTCCAAAAAGTCAACTGAATGACAAGTTTGTCTCAGTAGGTCAGATTCAATTTTGCCAATACTTAATGATGCATAACTACCCTTGGAAGTAGCTTTCAATTACATACAACAACTGTAATATTACTGATTTGGGTAATGCAAATGAGAAAGTAACATTAAAGATGATGCTTATGTATACGATGTGTTTGTAAAAATAAGAGAAGGGAGAGAACAATTTTCAGTCTTACGATAGCAGTAAGATTTAAATTTGAGTGTTTGATTCCTTCTTACTGCTAAACAGACTCTACAAATTCCAGAGGCTGGAAGAGAAATAGCTGAGCACCTTGTCTTTAAGAATTTCTTTGGCTAATTTAGATTAGGATATAGAGTCCCAAAGGAATCAGGCCTACCAGAAGAATAGTTAAAAGTAAGGAAGTTTTTCATCATACTTATTTACAGGTCTGGAAGACCTTTACTCATGCTGGCTTTGTTACTTAGGAAACAAATTCAGTGGTCCAGGAGCCTTTTCTAGGAAACATGAATAATCCTGTTCAACTTCAGTGTTGAACTTGTATTTCTCCTTTACACACAGAACTTGTGTGAAATGGTTTTCATTTGTGTTAGCAGCTCAATCAACTTCTCTTTCACTTCAGTGGTAGAACCCGTAGATGCAGGAAAGCTAGGATTCTGCCCTTGATGTGAAACCAAAGTTAGGACTCATCACTGCAACTAGAACACCTCAAAGGACTTAGTAGTTTCATAAAGCTCATGTAAGGTTTAATTTACCAGATTTTGAAGTTAGGTTTGAGTTAATGAGTTAAAAATTACATAGATGCAGTTCCTGTTAAAATGTATTTATTTTTTTTGAAATAACCTCGTAAGTGAAAAAATGCCTTAAAATGCTAAACGTGTAATTTTGCATTTCTGAATGTATTCAACTCTATCATTAATTCAGTAAGTATGTCCCCTTATTTAAGGATGAAGATGCATGTTGTTTCACTCCATAATCTGCTGCAGCCTGTAGGTGCTAATGGCCCCCAGGTATCCTGATGACCTGCTCCTGGAACAGCAAGCACATGCACTGACCCTGCACTGGCTTCATGGAGTTACAAACACTGTAGTGTGTTACTGCTATTTTAGCAGGATTCGTATGCATCACTTAGATTCTTGATTAATACATTTCACTTGAGAGAGTTTCCTGAGATGGTATGATATCTCCAGAAACCAAACCCTCTCCAGTAATAATGGTGTAATTAACCTAAATGTTAAAGTTTTCTTGTTTCTTCCTTAGAAGATGTTATTAAGATGTTACATTTCTTTCAGTTTCAGTTGACTACTTCATTAAAATGTAATCATCGGTTCGCTTCAGTGATATGCTAAATTTAAAGACGTCAAACAAAAATCTCTTTTGAATCAACATTTGCACATTGCAGTAAATGTATCCGTAACAAGTTTTTCTTCCTAAAGCATCAAGGACAAACTAAGGAAGCTGTATAGATTTTTTTTTTTAAATATAACCTCATCATATTCCTCAAGTAATCTGAAAAGAAGAGGTTAGGATGCTTCAGTCATCCATAAAAGTTTACTCTCAGAACTGAAATACATGATAGGTCTAGCTATTACTAAATTTTGTATGTCTTAGGTAGCACAGAAGTTTGAATGGGTTCTGCTTTGCCTTTCAAATTGCAAAGTGCCAGTAGTTCAAATCCTTTTCAAGTGTTTGATTTGATCTGCAACAATATGCAGTGTATCTTCTCATATTTCAAAAACGTATGTGTTATTAGGCATTTATTGCTGGTTTCACATGTACTCCACAGTACAATGTTTCTTAGAAATGAAAAACTAGGAAGCTTGGAAATGAACATTTTAAAATTTAAAACAATAAAACCACCTGACCTGAAAATAAAAGGCAGCAGTGCTTAGATACAGGTTTGCCTGGAAATCATTACATCATCAAATTCAAAACAATTATTATATTTTTGAAAATGTTACTTTTAAGCTTGTACTTATAGCCAACCTGGCTGTCAACATTGAAGGAAGGCTATGTTCATTTCATCCTTTGCAAAGGGCCAGCATAAGGCAAGGTTTGAAAGAGATTCAGATGCTACATAGTCCTAGATTGCCAAATAGATTTGACCTTGTGCGTGCTGCTAGAACAGTTAGAAATTTGTCTATGCCATCACTTTCCCATTTATCCTAAATGCTATATATAAATTATGTTCGTGAAGAAAATTTATGTGCAAGTCAGCTAGCTATTAACTGGGTCATTCTGACAGGATTCTGGCTCAAAAGCAGCCAAATCTCCAAATGTATTTATATAAATGTTAGTGCAACAATCATTACTTACTTTGTAGCTGCAGTGAATCCACTCACTGTGTCATGACATGACCATGCCATCTGGCCCTGTTAGAATGAATCAAGAGCAGAGCATTCAACTTTCATTTTTCTACCAGTATTTGTTTGATTGGATAAGAATCTCCCAGTTTTCTTTTTATTTCTTTTATCAGCATAATAACATAAATCCTTTAATTCCACATCTGCAAGACAAGCTTAAGATGTAAGATTTATATCTTCCAAGGAAAATCAAAACAAAAAAGAAAAATTTCCTATGAACCTAAGTTGGGGAAATTTATTCCACAGGTACAGGTTGTGTTTGCAAGATGCAAGTTCCTAACTTCCATCAGACTGCGGAAAAGCCTAGATATGCCAGAGCACATGCATACGTATATTCATGAACAAACCTCTGTACAATCAAGACCTCAGTAATGCTTATACATACAGTTACTGTGTAAAATAAAATCTGTTGTATGCATGGCCTTCTAATTGACCTGAAAGAGCTGCAATGCAAATAAGTCTCAACTGACTACAGTAATGAACATATCAAGCACCACTATATTCTGTATTAATAGAAGAGCATCAGTTTCCTTCTAACTAGAATCAGGGCTGATAAATTCTGATAAACTCACTCGATAAACTGGATAAATTCCTAATAATGTTAAAATCCTCATGATGTTTTTCATTTTTAAATGTTTTCTTTTTAAATGCTGAATACACACGCAATAAAATTG